CAAGGCCTGATTAATACGTAATAAACTGACCTTAAACCCCCAAAAAACCATAACACAATTTTTCACAGAAGGAAAAACTTACCTCCAGATTTGGACCCTTTGTACCTTGGTAATACAGTCCTCAATCGCAAACAAAATACCAAATTCCTTGCGGTTAATGTTAATGAGAAACTTAACTGGAGAAACCACATATAAGCCATTCACAGTTAAGTCAATAAACAGTGCAGTATCATGTATCACACTCGACAGTCACTCACTCTTATATCAATGAAAAAAATCTATTATGATCTTGTTTACCAACACCTGATACACTGCCACCCCTGATTACTGCACAAAAGACAGTTGTGTGGAGAATGACCTACATGAAAAACTGATCTCACAAATGAACAATTTTCTAAATTGAAAATGCTGAAATTCGACGATATTAACACCTACTGCTGTGCCCTATTTGTTTACAATTCTGTCAATCACTTGCTTGACAATAATATTATTATTTCCAGTTCTGGAATAGTCAAGGATACAACCTCCACAAAATATCATGGTGTGAATGTGGGGAACAACTTACGCCCACCTTACCACCATGCTATGTGTACGATTCCAGGTGATACTAATTGTTACTTAATACATCCTTGAGATAAATGTACAGTATATATTAGGTGCCTACAAGAGAGCTCAGGCTCTCACTGGCTCAGCCATGTTAAAAAAAAACTTCGACTCTGTATCTAAGTTCTTCTGGCTAATTAAACTGTTCAGTATCAATATCAATATCCTTTGTTCCTGCCAGGAGTCATCTTATGTTGAAAAGTCCCTCCATCCGGTACTGGATGTCCACCCTGCTGGCTAAATTGGCACTGGCATGAGTAAGGAAACAGCCAAGAAAACATCCTTGTTTTACCCCCATTTGGATGGGGAAGAATTCAGATTGGGGGCCATTATAAACGACACTGCTTTTCATGCCATCATGGAATTGTTTCACAATGGCGATGAATTTAGGTGGGTAGCCAAAACGGCTGTTGTCTGCACTTTTCCTGTATCTGGCGGGCAGCAAAGATTATGTCAGTGGTGTCACGTGATGGTGTAAAGCCACACTGAGATTCTGGGAGGAAGTTTTCTGCCTCAGGTAGAAGTCTATTTATGAGGACTCAGGCGATAATCTTGCCAGCTACGGACAACAGCAAGATTCTGTGGTGGTTGCGACAGTCTGGCCGGTCTCCCTTGTTCTTATAAATATTGATGACTAGCAGAATCGCTGCCCTCCGGGCGGCTCATCCGCTAGGCAACGGTAGGACGCCACCCTCCGGGAGGCTCCACATTGTCTCACTGTTCAGTCCCCAAAACTTCTTCTTCCATCAATAGTTCATTAACGGTGTATGTAAGTTCCACCATGTTTTTCACTACAACGGAACAGCAATGTATATATTTTTAGCATTAAACTGTTATTATTTTATTGTCTAATCAACACTACATATAACACCACCAATCATCTCTACATATAACATCATCTACCATCACTACATATAACACCATCCATCATCACTACATATAACACCATCCATCATCACTACATAAAACACCACCCATCATCACTACATAAAACAACATCCATCATCGCTACATATAACATCATCCATCATCACTACATATAACACCATCCATCATCACTGCATATAACACCATTCATCATCACTACAGATCGGTAAAGTAGTTTCCGAGATTCTCGTGCGGGCACACACAAACAGACATACTTCTTTGTTTTATATAGATAGATTCTCTAATCATCACTACATATAACAACATCCATCATCACTACATGTAACACCATTCATCATCACTACAGATCGGTAAAGTAGTTTCCGAGATTCTCGTGCGGACACACACAAACAGACATACTTCTTTGTTTTATATAGATAGATTCTCTAATCATCACTACATATAACAACATCCATCATCACTACATATAACACTATCCATCATCACTACAGATCGGTAAAGTAGTTTCCGAGATTCTCGTGCGGACACACAGGCACACACAAACACACACACACACACACACACAGGCACACACACACACACACACACACACACACACACACACACACAGACATACTTCTTTGTTTTATATATATAGATAGATGGAGGCGTCTTTAAGAGCTTGGGGGATTTCCTCATTTTCCCATATATTCTTCAGGAGAGAGTTGAGACGGTTGGTAAGCAGAAGTCCTCCTGCTTTATACTTTATACTGCCTCATCCAGGGATGTAGGATAGCTGAAGTGGGTCAGCTCTGGTTGCTGAGGAATCTGCTGGGTAGTCAGCGCATCCACATTAGTGTAACGGTTGAGCGGTGAATGGCAGTGCTCTTTCCATTGCTGAAGGCTGCCTCCTTCGTCTTTAATTAGGGAGTTACCATCGGAAGAGCAGAGGGGAGCTGCGCCATGAGTGATTGGCCCATAAAATGTTTTACTGGAAATTTAAAATTCGTGCATCGTGTGTTGAGATGCAAGTTTTTGCATTTCACACATTTATTTTTCAGCCTTTCGTTCTTTGGATAACTAAGTTTGCGCTGGGCCGCCGCTTTCTTTTTGTGGAAGATATCATCTTTTTTCAAAGACTGAGGGTTGCTCTGCGAGTCAGTTAAAGCAACACATTGATTTCAGGGTTACTTTCATCAAACCAGTCCTGGTGTATTCTTTCGATCTGGCCGAGGGTCTCTCTGCAGCTTTTTGTCATGACAGTGTCGAGAATACCCCATTCAGCACTGGAATTTTAGTTATTTGTTTTAGGGTTGTTTATCAGCTCATGTTCTAGCTACTCTCTGAAACCATGTGCTACTAGTGGATCCTCCAAACACTTAATGTTAAAACCTCTTCTGGAGGCTTGTTGCCTTCGCTGTTTTGGGGCGACATGAAGTGCGAGTTTGGCTTTGACGAGCTGATGATCAGTATCATAGTGGTCTGAGCCACGCATGGCTCGGGTGATAAGGACATCTCAGCGATCCCCTTTTTTGACAATAACATGCAAGTGTTTGGATTGTAGGTGTTTTGCCACGAACCCTTAAACCTGTCGGCCTTCCTAAACAGGGTATTTGTGATGCTGAAGTTGTGTTCAGCACACTTGCTAAGGAGGAGAAGGCCATTGGGATTACACTTACCTACCCCTTATCCCTCTATGGTTCCCTGCCATATGTCAACATCTCTTCCATCTCTGGCATTGATATCAACGAGGAGCACAACCTTATCTTCTCTGGGGATAGAGGTTAGCACTCAGTTAAAGTCGGCATAAAAGGTCTCCTTTATGTCATCCTCTGCATACAGTGTTGGGCCGTATGCACTGATGAAGAAGGCACCACGTAAGTGATTCACTGGGACACGGAGCGGTGTCTCTCCACAGAAGGCTTTCCCTTCCAGAAGAAGGTATAACCAGACCCCTGTTCTCTGAGTCGACCCTCGTCTGGGAGCCGAGACTCACTAATGGCTTCTATGTTGATGTTATACCTAGGCAGCTTTTTTGCCACAAGGGCGGTTCTTCTTTCAGGACGCTCATTTGTGCCAGTATCCAGAAATTCCTGAAGTTCCATGCAGCGACCATAAGAGTTGCATAGTTTGTGTTTGCTATTTAGGACACCTTTTCTAGCCCCCTCCGCATTTGGGGTGAGCAGAGTGGCTCCTCGAAAGGGCTGCACAGAAGCACAACCAGGACTGTATGGCACTGCTGCCTAAATCCCAGTGCATAAACGACCATCTTACTTATGCCACCCATGTGCAAAGTTGTGACTAGAGACTTCTGGCAGTCATCTCTGCCTGTCCCCGTCGCCACTCGTCCGTCACCATAGGACTTTTGGGGGTATCACTGTTTTGATGATGATGAGAAGTAAGATGAATGGGAGGTTAGCTGTGCGTGAGTTGATTTATGTGGTGAGGCAGGAACGCAGACTACAACTACACATCTTGGCTCTCCTTTTTCCTGATCCAATGGTGCAAGCAGTTGCAATGAGTTACAATGGGCTGCCGATACCCCAGTTTGATGGCCTTCGCCTTAGTAGCCTGTCCATCTTTACATGTTGGTCACCTCTTCCGCCTATACCGCCGTTTGGGTCTTAGTGGAGCTCTGTAAGCATGTCTGTAAGTTGCCGGGCTCCATAGCAGATTTTTCATTTGGGGTCTACTCCCGTAGCCTTGTTCCTACCAAGGTTGTTCCGCAAGGCAGTGGGGCAGTGGTTGGTCGGCGCCAAAACGTGTCTACATGCCAGTGGGCCTATGTGCCATTCCTCTGGGACCCACTGCTTATCCGAGATCACCTACTAGCCTAGCATGGGACCACGAGGCACCCAGTTACCGTGTGTTGCCACAAAGAAGCACAGCTGGAGTCTTGATAGTGAGGAGGCTGTAAACTGGCAGGGGAAGGCTTATGCAAGCTGCTTCCCTTTTCGCCACGAGGGCTAGCCAGCGGCAGTAGCTGAAAGCGAGAGGAAGCAAGCAGTGCCTGCACCTTATCACTAACGTAAGGCTGCCACACTAGACGCATTACACCACCCTGTGTGCACGCACACACACACACACACACAGCACTAAACTTCACTACACGATACATCACTGCACTACACGATGCAGCACTACACGACACAACACTACACTGCATAACAAAGCCCTCACTACTTTACACGACACAGCACTACACTGCATAACACAGCACTCACTACATTACACGACACAGCACTACACTACACAACACAGCACTACATAACACAGAACTACACAACACAGCATTACACTACATGACAAAGCAGTACACTACACGACATAGCACTACACTATACGACACAGCACTACACTACACGACACAACACTACTCGACACGACACAAAACCACGACCAGACATGACACTACACAACACGGCCCTAATGAGAATCACTTATCAACTTACCTTCAGTAGTCAACAGGAAAGTTATTAATTAATCAACTTACTTTCAGTAGTCAACATGAGAGTAAGTAATCAACTTACTTTCAGTATTAAGTGTCTTAGAGGAGGTATGAGGATTGTCAGGAGGCGGAACAGCAACCACAGAGAGGTGAGGGCAGTAAGGAGCACCAGCCACACCCACAGGAAGAGGAAGATCTGTGAGGCACATTACTGCACTGTACTATACAACAAGAAGACCACCGTAACAATACACAGGTCCAACTCTTTTATATGATATTCTTATACTGTAGAAATTGCCTGATTACACAATACCGGAACAGAACTGCTTCAGGTGTTAGTATTAAAAATTAAACTCCAGTCTACTTAATTATTTTGGTGAACAAACGTAGAATCACGTATACTATGAGTTGCTATAGTGAAAGAAATAGTAAAAGTAGTTGTAGCGAATTGTCCCAATAAGAAGCAATAATAGTAATAACAACAGTCGGATGAAATTGTATCAGTGTTATCACTTATTGTAATGCATTAGTAATGATAGTTGAACTAACACTCGTAACATCAGTAATGACTGAAGCAGTAAGTAGAAGAGTTGTGACCGACCTTCTCGTTGATGATGTTGGTGGCGATGAGGCACATGACATCTCGCACTTGGATGGTCCCTGAAGAACCGAAGCTCTTGAAGGTGCACTTGGCCATCCTGGGGAACACGTACGACATCGGGTCTGTACGGTTCTCAGGGTCCAACCCGATCACTTCCATTACCTGGTCACAATCATAGGTTATGGTGTGATGTACCTGGTCACAATCATAGGTTATAATGTGATGTACCTGGTCACAATCATAGGTTATAGTGTGATGTACCTGGTCACAATCATAGGTTATGGTGTGATGTACCTCGTCACAATCATAGGTTATGGTGTGACGTACCTGGTCACAATCATAGGTTATAGTGTGATGTACACTCGGAAACCATAATCTCTAGCCCACCTGGGTCGGTACTGGAGGTTAAGACAGTGTCCTTTCTGGACGGGGGCCCACTCTAACTATCACGAGACAACACACACACGAACACACACAGTCATAGTACGGCTGTATAGATGACATTATATATAAATATTGTGCATGGCATTTTATACTCTGCATTATCTTCATTATATATGAACACGAAGAAAAAATACCATAGGTTGTAGTTACGAAAGTATGAATGGAAATAAACACTTCCAAACCACCCATGACTCCACACAACGTGTGTGTGTGTGTGTGTGTGTGCCAGACCACGATGCTTCCCATTATTCGCATAACTATATGAAAAATCGTGTTTAAATTAACTACATATTTCAAAAACCTTAAATTTCATATGGATCAGTCACTCCTCATTTGACACGCTTATAGTGTAATACTTTGACCATCCCACCTGGGCACATGGAGGCCCACGGTAACTCTCACGGGGCAACATACACACGAACACAGAAGTTATGATATGAACCCTTCCAGGCTTCACTATCATTATCATGTTATGTTCATCGTGCTCTGTATCTTGGTAACTAGTCATAGTATCAATACATGAGTTTTATTAGTATAATATTGTAACTTTTACCCTACAGTTGTTGTTGTAAATCATGGACAGGGAGGATAATTAAATTGTAATATCAAGTGTATGGTTCGCTCAAAGCCACCCCAAGTCAGACTACGCGTCACACAAAGTTACACTGTGTGTGTGCGTTCTGTAACATTAAGCTTCATCCTTAGTAGGTAAGATGTTTCATAAAGAGGTTTCTCCTATTCGTCGTTGTAAGCATCGTCCCAGAGCACATTGTTTCCATCAAAACCATGGTTCATCCTTATTTCCCTTCTTCCGTGTAACTATATCCAGATGGCTAAGTGCTTGCTTTTCATTTCTTTATTTACTAAAATAATGTGGATCAGTTACACGTTATTTAACACATACATGCACTTAGAGCATCAAGATTGTTTTGTAGGCATGACTATTGGTTAATTGAAACCCCAAAAATATTTTTCACATTTATTATACATAAACAATGTAAACATATCTATGTGATTATTGTAGTATATAACAGATTCCCAAGAGTTATGCATATTAATGCATATATTTTGTAAGCATATTTATGCGAAGTGACGTAAAACCACTTAGTAAAATACCTGGACATATTCCCGAGACTTAGGACACGAAGTCTATGTGGCCCCAACGAGGTTATATCAGAGAGCTAACTCCCCCGTCACCCCCTACAAGGCACCGTCGTGGGCGGAGATTTAATTCTTGACCACAGGTTAATACCGTGTCCAACCTCCATCTGCTGCTATAACTTCATGCAATCTGGTGGGCATGGAATCTACCAGATTGCTGGAGATGTTCGGCCTCCTCCATATTCCCTCCCACACATTATGTGCGTGTCTCCTCACTGCCTCACTCGTTTTCTCCTCAACATCCCATTCAACAACCATATGCGCCCACAGATTTTCTATAGGATTACAATCGGCTCCTTTAGGGGGCCAGTCCAATAGAATAATCTGCGGGTGCGCCTCAAACCAACGCTTGACTGCCTGACTTGTATGTATTGGACTGCGGTCTTGCCCCATACATAAGAACATAAGAGCATAAGAATGGAGGAAACTGCAGCGGGCCTATTGGCCCATACTGGGCAGTCCAGTTTACACCCAACCCATAATGCTCATATAAGCATCCAACCTATGTTTGAAGCTATTCAGCGTATTCGAGTTAATGATGATATTTGGTAACTTGTTCCATTCATCCACTACTCTGTTTCCAACCAGTGTTTACCTATTTCGCGCCTAAATCTAAATTTGTCTAATTTAAAACCATTGTTACGAGTTCGCTCCTGGTTGGATAGTTTGAGTACCTTTGTAATGTCCCCTTTGTTTAGCCCTGACTTCCATTTATACACCTCTATCAGGTCGCCCCTCGCTCTACATCTCTCGAGGGAGTGCAAAGTAAGATGCTTTAACCTGTCTCTATACTCAAGGTTCCTAATGCCCGGGATTAGTCTTGTCATTCTCCTCTGAATTCTTTCCATGGATTCTATATCCATTTTATAATACGGTGACCAGAACTGAACTGTGTAATCCAGGTGTGGTCTCACAAGCGCAAGATACAGTTTTAGGATGACCTCCCTAGTCTTATAACTAACACTCCTTTGTATGAACCCAAGTACTTTATTAGCCTTGTTACGAGCAAAAACACATTGTTTACTTGGCTTAAGGTTCCTACTTATCATTACTCCTAAATCTCTCTCGCAGTCGGATTTCTCTATGGCATCGTTGTTCATCTGGTATCTGGTTTCGCTGTTTACATCTCCTATACTGAGCACTTTACATTTGTCCACGTTGAATTTCATCTGCCATTTTTCAGACCATTTGAAGAATTTGTTAAGATCTTCCTGTAGTTTTGCAGAGTCCTCGTCAGATTTAATAACACGACCTATTTTAGTGTCATCAGCAAATTTACTTATGTTGCTGTCTATGCCGATATCTATATCGTTTATGTATATAATAAATAATAATGGTCCAAGTACTGAGCCCTGTGGAACTCCAGTAGTGACGTTGCTCCAATGGGACTTAGTGCCGTTAATGCTCACTGGCTGTTTCCTTTCCTGTAACCACACCCTAATCCATTTAAGGATATTAACTTTGATGCCATGTGCTTCTACCTTTTTAATTAGTCTTTCGTGGGGGACTCTGTCGAAGACTTTGCTAAAGTCGAGATATACCACATCATAATTGTGTCCTTCGTCCACCGATTCGAAAACTGATGAAAAGAATGTTAATAGATTAGTTAGACATGAACGCCCGCTTGTGAAGCCATGTATGGAATCATTGATCAACTTGTGCTTCTCCAGGTGATTTCGAATAGAGTTTGAAATGATTGATTCAAGTAATTTGCCTACTATTGATGTTAGGCTGATTGGGCGGTAGTTAGAGGATAGTGATCTATCCCCTTCTTGAAAATCAGTATTTCATTCGCTATCCTCCAGGATTCTGGTACTACACCTGTATTTAAGGACATGTTAAACAACTTGGCTAAGGGCATACTAAGCTCTTCCTTACATTCCTTTAATACTCTGGCAAATATCTCATCGGGACCAGGTGACTTATTAGGCTTTAGTTTATCTATTTGCTTACTAACATCGCTACTAGTCACTATTATCTTGCTTAATTTGTTTTCTTCACTATCTCTGAATAGAGTCGGTGCCTCGGGTATCATGTTTACATTTTCTGTGGTAAAAACTGTTGAAAAATATTTATTCAAATTATTGCTCATTTCTCTGTCGTTGTCATTGAGCTCGCCGGTATCTGACCGTATTGGTCCAATCTTTTCTCTTGTTTTAGTTTGATACATTTGGTAGAATCCTTTGGGGCTTGTCTTCGCCTCCCTTGCTATCCTTACCTCATTATTCCTCTTGGCTTTCCTTATCTCGGTTTTAACCCTACTCGCCAATACCTTATAATAATCCTGGAGGTAAATTTCACCATGATTTATCCTTCTACCTATAGCCTTCCTTTGGCCAATGTTGTTCTTTAGATAATTATTTATCCATTTAGGGTCATTGTTGTCTGATCTGAGTTTTTGTATGGTATGTTCTGCCTTTGTGCATTAAGTAACTCATTATTTAAATTGTCGTGGAACTCGGCTATCTCAGATCTCGTTATCAGGTCGGTGTCATCTGTCAGGTTCACGCCCAAACGCGACACCCCTTCTCTCAGCTGCCTCTTTAAACTGTCAACGTTTGCTCTTCTGAAATCTTGTACTTTAGTGGAATTTTCCTTAAGTCTGCCCTGAAAATCTAACTGGAATCTAATTTCTTTGTGATCTCTGTTTGCAAGTTCGTTCCCTACCTCGACATTGCTAATGAGGTTTTCTCTGTTCGAGAGAACTAACTCGAGTATATTACTACCACGGGTGGGTTCGGTTATATGTTGACTTAGGAAACAGTCCTGGATCGTTTCGAGAAAATCCTCTGATTCTGAGTCACCCGTAAGGTCAGTCCAATCTATTTGGCCAAGGTTAAAGTCGCCTACTATACAGACTTTGTTGTGTATGGAAGCCCTATGCATTTCATCCCAGATAAGTCTCTCATTGACCCTATCAAGATTGGGAGGTCTATATATTACTCCTGTGATTAATTTTTCCCTACTGTCGATTAATTCTATCCAAATTGTTTCTGTTTTCCGCTCAGTTTTTATTTCCTTATTAATTTCACACTTCAGATTATCCCTGACATAGATTGCTACTCCTCCTCCTTTCCTGGTCTGCCTATCGGTATGGAACAATTTGTAACCGGCAATTTGGTATTCGACCGGTAACTCACGTGAGTCTAGGTTGATCCATGTTTCAGTGAATGCTATTATGTCGATTTTTTCGGTACATACTAAGGCCCTAATATCATCCATTTTGTTTCTCATACTTCTACTGTTCGCGTAGTAGACATTTAAGTTAGTCGTGTTCTGAGTCCTCCCTTTACCGTGTTTAGGTTTAAACTCCCTGTCTGCTTTAGTTTTGTCGTCATTCCTAACACTATTTCCCTGTAATCTTTCACTTTGTTTTCCCACTCCCACTGCAGTCTCCTCCATCCCCCTGCCCTCATGTTCCCCTAGCAGTTTAAAGACTTCTATATCTTTTGAACTGCCCCCTCTAGAGACCCAGCCAGGGTTGCCACCCCCTCCGGAGACAGATGCACCCCATCCCTAGCATAAAGGTCCCTTCTGCCATAGAAGTTGTTATTGGG